CTTTACACCTTCCAGCCTGCGCATTGGATTTTTTAGGTGAGACACAGTGTGCGCGGAACTGAGCCCACCCTTTAATCCTAAGGTTCATCTACCGGGGCCAAGCGAGCTTGGACGGTGGCAGCGAGGTCTTCAGGACGTAGATGGGTTGCCTTTAAGGGCTAACGAGCTCCATCTGCCCAGGGAGTGGCCCTGATCAGGAATCGAACCCAGGTCTCGGCAGTGACAGCGCCGCGCCCTTAACCACTAGACCACCAGGGGCTCCTGCTGAAGATAGAGCTGTTGAAAAAAGCTGGAGATGTTCATGATACAGTTATGCTTATGAAATCTTTCAAGTGTAAGCATCATTTTACATGCAGCAAAGAGATGAAGGACCAGGTTTTTTTTTTTTTTTTTTTTTTAATTGTGGGGACATACTGACGTGCTGATACTCTCCTCGTATAGAATTCTTTGAATGAAAAAGACTTTTGAACATCATCTTTTCATTGATCTAAATGTGCATTGAAGAATTAATGTGACTTTGCTGTCTAGAATAGAATCAGGAAGTCTTCTCTGCAGCTGAGGTTAAGCAAAGGTTGTGATATTACAAATTAGAACTAAATAGGAGACTGATATTGAGAAACTGGAACCTTGTTAGCTATACTAATAATGAATCAAGTCTCTGAGACAAAGGGTCCCCGAAGGTGAGTTAGCTGGAGTTTGAATACAAATGGCTGTATTATTATTAACACATCCATTCATGAAAGCAGGTTTGTAATACATATTTGAAGCTGAACTCTCAGGGAGATTAAGCAGAGCCTATGTAGATAAAGCATATAGGGAGGCTGAAATGTATTTCTTTGGCTATAGCTATTTTAATTAAATAACCTGACATAAATATACTTCTCCATGACAAAATCTGAAAGGACATTGTTAAGGTTGAAAAGTCGAATGCTGAAAAACTAGGAAAAGCAAGAAAATAGTATCACTCTAACACATTTACAAAATGGAGCAGATGATTGTTATGTTAAGTACTGCTATTTGTTCTGTTCAAAGGGTGTGTGATGTCACTCAGTGGTCAACTATTCAATTTTTATCTACATATGTGATGTAAAACTACATGTTCTCCAAATTCTGCTTTCTAGACACTTTTTTTACTTCCCTCTTTTCTACTGTGTAAAATATTTTGTTGGCTGAAGACTTCACAGGTATGTTTATGAACTTTGGTTGAGACTTCTTCTGAAAGATCTTTCTATTCATATCTGAAGAGTAGAGGCATAATAATAATGGCCAGTCTTCGCGAGCGAAGATCCAGAGGAAGGTCTTTACACCTTCCAGCCTGCGCATTGGATTTTTTAGGTGAGACACAGTGTGCGCGGGACTGAGCCCACCCTTTAATCCTAAGGTTCATCTACCGGGGCCAAGCGAGCTTGGACGGTGGCAGCGAGGTCCTTAGGACGTAGATGGATTGCCTTTAAGGGCTAACGAGCTCCACCTGCCCGGGAGTGGCCCTGACCGGGAATCAAACCCGGGTCTCGGCGGTGACAGCGCCACGCCCTTACCACTAGACCACCAGGGGCTCCAGTAGAGGCATAGACACATTAAAAAAATTTTATCTGCTGATTTTAGAGCATTTAAAAGTGTTGTTGGGTTTTGTTTGTTTTTCTTCCCTTAGTATTGTCATCAGTATTATCCAGCACTTCAGATATTTAAAACACAGTTCTCTGGGACTTCACTTGCAGTTCTTGCACTTCTGAAGATTTGAGGAGGCACAGTTTTATTTGTGTTACTTGGTCTGGGTTCCAGTGGAAGGTGATCAGGTAATCACAGGAGAAGAAAACACAGATGTTTCCCTGCACTACCTTTTTTTTTTTAACATTTACTTATTTATTTATTTGATTTTTTTCTGAGTGTCAGTGTTTATTTTCCAGAGAACTTGGTCCAGTTTTGTCCTCTCTACCTGTTTCCTTCCTGGACTATTTCCAAAGCTGATTAATGAATCCAAATTTTCCCTTTGAAGCAATTTCAGCTCTTTTATAAATCCTTTATTCACCATCACATAAATGTTTTAAAGTGTCCCACTTTTAGTTCACATACCTTATGTGGTCTATAGCAACTTATATGTGAATCAATACAATAAATATCTGTTTTCAAAACAGTAAGATGACATAGTTGTCCCAAGTTGAAAGCTACACTTCAAGCACTTTACCTCCAACACTTTACTTCAAGTTAACATTTGTTGTTGGCAGTGCTACTAAGTAGTATTCTACAAAAAATTTTTCTTCTGGTCCTGTACTTTTCAAGTTCTGCCTGTTGGTTTAACTGTGTAATAAGATTTAAGAATGAGCTCTTGGGCACATGAAAACTTATAAGTGTAGAGCTGGACACACCTGACCAGTTACTTTATCCCACCCAAGCTCACAAATAAACATTGCTGATTACAAGGGGGCACTTAAGATCCTTCCTGGGATCCTTGCTTCTGTCATGTGAAAATGTGTTTCTCTAAAGAAAGGAACACAAAGTTCACCAGGTAAGAGAGAGTATAGAGGGAACATGAACTGGTAGGATGGGGCTACATCTCTTCTGAGTGAGCTAGTCCTGCCCTCTTGGCACTTACATGTGGCAGAAATATCATCATCTTTGCTACCTCCTTTAATATAATATGCTGGCTCTTTTCCTAAATTTGTGTGAAGTTTTCCTGAACTCTATTAAGAACATCTCTAAGTATACACTGGCCTATGCACAGGCCTACAACTGTAAGTGACTTCATTTTCAGTTTTGTCATGGTAAAGTAAAGCTTTTAGAATAACTTTCCAACAGGAGCAATGTGATATGATATTGATGTTTTGTGATAGGGAGTAGTGTCTGCCTGTGATAGGAGGAGACTGAACTTGGTGACTGTAAATTCTGTCCTAATCTGTGCTCTTCTGAATGGAATTCTTTGTGAATATTTCCTAGATGAGGGAAATATTCAAAGAAGAAGGTCTGGCAGGACTTTCCTTTTAAGACCTGAATTGGCAAAACTGACAAAACAGAACATATAGAAGGGTTAAATTGAGCTGGGTATGGTATGTTGGTGTTTCTAGTGCTAAGTGGCTACTGTCTGTAGAAGGGCTTTGGTTTTCAATTTTTCAGCTTTAATGTTTGTATCAGGTCTGTCTGGAGTGAAGTTACAAGGTAGTTTTTTTCGTGGCAGCTTGTATGGTGCTCTGCTTTGCTTTTGTGGCTAAAATAGTGTTTTGGCTAATACTGAAGAGTGCTTAATGTCAAGCATTCTCTCTTTCCACTGTCCAACCCAAACAGGAATAGGCCGGGTGTGAGAAGAGGCTGAGACAAGGCACAATCAAGACAGCTTAGGGATATTCCATACCATGTGACACTATACTCAAGCAATAAAGGCTCAGGGAAAATGAGAAGAAAGGGGGGAATATTTGTCGTTATGGTATTTTTCTTCCCGTTTTTGTGCTGAGGTGCTGCTTTCCTGGAAGTGGCTGAACATCTGCCTGCCAGTGGGAACTAGTGAATTAATTCCTCTATTTGGCTCCACTTACATGCATGGCTTTTGTCCTCCTTATCAAACTGTCATTACTTTGATTGATGGGTCTTTTTGCTTTTCTTCTCTTTTTGCCCCCACCCCTTGGAGAGGGATGTGAGTGAAAGGAAGAGTATGTGTCTGACTACCATCTGGTCTCAATCCAGTGTAGTGTTTGAGATAGAATTTTAGCAAAATTTAGCCATCATAATAATTTTTGGTATTGTTTTCGAGATGAAGTATTTTTTTATAGTGTCAGCTTCTCACTTTTCCTCACTTAGGTAGAAGATTTAATCAGTGTAAGTTAGATCTCTAGATTCCATTCAAACTTAGATCTGTTAATTGAAAACTTTATTTTTGAGTTTCATATTACCTGAACTGAATCTTACCACGGCCACAAGTAGAAGACCAACAATTCTCACCACACTTGAGAGCTCTTTTTCCTGATGAAGAGTGAAAGTGAGAACATGATTATGTGATGGTATAAATTTAAAATGGCAACAAGTGATAGGGAGAAAATATTTCACTGGAGAGAAAAATAATTTATACATGCTCCAAGCAAAAGGTGATATGTGTATGTGAGCATGTATATTTTAACAAAGGCTCTTTCTTTACAGGCTGTGTAGGCAATCTCTCTTCAAATCCTTGTGGAACTGTTTAATCACAAAACCAACCTTATTACCATATGTTCTCAACTTACTTGACCTAGATATTCTAAGTAACTTCATACTTGTATAGGTTTTTCAATAGTTTCATTTTATATTATTGTTGCCTTAAAATAATCAGTGGTACTTATGTCTCAAGAGGTCAAACCTTGCTCTGAGTGGCAGTGTCAAAATATTCCTCCCAATAATATATATTATTGAAATACGAATTTCAGTATAGAGTATTTGATTTCTTTAATGTTCTAACACTGTCACTGCTGTGATTCAAGTAAACTAATTCAAATTGACAATATTCTGCTTTATTGAACACTATTTAAAATGCATATCCACTAAGTTTTTCCTTCAAGCATTCATTTAGTACTTTAGTCATGCTTTATCAGAAGATCTGTGACCCTTGTGTGAATTTTAATCTTCTATTTATTAATGTTATTTTCATTGTTTTTACTCTGTAAACACTGCAAATCCTCACAATATTTAGGTTAGTAATTATATCACTGTGGGATGTTAAGATTCTATGTAGTGCATGCTGTAGTCATATATCATGGTTATACCATTGGCATTATGCAATTTGGAATGAAAGTTGCATTGTCATTCTGCCCATTAGGACTACCAGGAGAAGTTTTTGCATGCAAATTGTACATGTTTACTGAGTCTACTCAAAATAAATAGTTTCTTTCATTCATAGGATTGCATAGATTTTTTTCTTAAGCATTTAGCTCTAGTTTGGTGTGAGAGTGAGGAGATCTGCAAGGGTAAAAGATACATTTTTTCTTTGTTGACTTGCTTTTTTTTTCTTTGCTTCTCCACTTCCTTTATAATTTGCCTAGAGTCATCATCATGGCTAGGCTTCGCGAACGAAGATTTGAGAAGGGCTCTACCCACGCTTGCTACAAGCACGCTGATGGCTAAAAAGGCCAATGCAAGATAGACAAGTCCAGTTGCAGAAGGCACAGCAGAAAGACTCCCCAGGTGACATTGACGAGACGCGATTCTTTGTGCGTTGTCTTTTCTTCTCTTCTCGAGAGTGATCCTGCGTGTGTTCTCAAAAGCAGCAGCAGTGTCACAGTTTAAATGGGACAAGGGTCTTTTGCTGAGGATGAATTAGGAAGAAAAGACCCAAACTTCTTTTTCTAAGCAATTATAAATCTGAAATTAAGAGGTTCCGACTGAAGGAAAACAAATTATGGAAAAGGGAAAACAAAAAAATAACAGCCTTTTATTAAAAGGTATGTGTGTATTAACAGAAACACGAAAAAAACTAAGTAAAACATCCAAGCAATACTCCTATACCCACCAATAATCCCCTTCAAGAACAAAACTGATAAACTGGCAAAAGGAAAATTTAAAATAGTTCAATTTTTAGCACCCTTTGGTGCAGTTCCAGCCACAGTCAGCAGGGGGAGCTGTCGGGTCACTGGAGATGCAAAATTTGTAATGCCCTGTACCATTCACCAGGTGGCGCTGTTGGGTCACTGGAGGAGTAGAACTTGTAATGTTCAGTGCCCGTCACCAGGCAGCGCTGTGAGATCCTTGGCTGCCGCCAGGTGGGGGGGGTTGGGGGGGAAGAAGGGGAGGGAAAAACAACAGCAATAAAACAGAAAGTTCTCCCAATGGAAGAAAACTCACAAACTTCAGCTGATTAGGGTCCGTTGTAAGCAGGGCCTGCAGCCAGCCACAGCTGAGCCGAGAGCAGCAGCAAAAACTCCCCTCCGACAGGAAAGAGACAAAGAAACCCAGTAGTGTCTCCAGCCTGCAACAGGCTCCCCTCAGCGCAGAGAGACTGAGCTCCCCCCCAACCTCCACCCCCTTCCAGTCACACACCCCAGTAGCCCCCCCCCAACTCCTCCCCCTTCATTGCTAGGAGACTAATCTCTCGGCCATTAGTGACCAGGCCTACTCTTTTGTTCACCTGATGGCTCATCCACAGACCACACACGCAGGGGGGAAGGGAAAGAAAAATTCCTTCCTGAAATAAGAACTATGACAAGCAGCGTTATAGATGGTGTGTCTCCAGGCCTCCCGATTGGAGGCCAGGGTAGACCAATGGTGGTGATCAATATGGTCAAGGCTGAGAGATTTTTTCAGGCAGTCCTTGTATCTCTTCTTCGGTGCTCTTTTCTTGTGGCAGCCAGTGGCAAGTTCCCCAAAGAGTACAATCTTAGGGAGGCAGTAGTCCTGCATCCTGGAGACGTGCCCTGCCCAGCGCAGCTGTGTTCTCAGCAGCATGGCCTCAATGCTCGTGACTGCTGCCTGTTCAAGGACAGACGTGTTGGTCACATAGTCAGTCCAGTGGATGCTTAAAATTGTACGGAGGCAGCGCTGATGGAAGCGTTCTAAGAGACGCAAGTGGTGGCGGTAAATGACCCATAATTCAGACCCCTATAAAAGAGTAGACAGTACAATGGCTCTGTAAACGCTGATCTTTGTACTTTTCTTCAGGTGTTTGTTTCGCCACACTCTTTTATGGAGTTTACCGAAAGCTCTGTATGCCTTAGCTAACCTACTGTCTATTTCTGCATCAATCTTACCGTCTGAGGAGATGATGCTACCCAGGTAATTAAACTACTGCACTGATTTGAGTTCTGTTTCACCAATGGTGATATGGGGATGATGGGAGACTTCCTGAGGTGCAGGCTGATATAAAACTTCTGTCTTCTTCAAGCTGACTTCCAGTCCAAACACCTCAGCAGCCTCTGCAAAGCAGGATGTTAGACGCTGCAGAGCTACTTCTGTGTGGGCGACAGGGGTGGCATCATCAACATAAAGTAGCTCATGGATAAGATGATTTAAGGTCTTAGTGTGAACCTTCAGTCACCTTAGGTTGAAAAGGCTCCCATCCGTACGATATCAAATGTAGACACCATTTTCATCATTGAGGTCTGCTGTGGCCCTTTGGAGCATCATGCTGAAGAAGACTTTGAATAAAGTTGGTGCGAGAACGCAGCCTTGCTTCACACCACTGACTATTGGAAAGGGCTCAGAAAGTGCATCGCCATATCTGACTTGACCGCACTGGTCCTCATGAAGCAAGATGATCATTTTGAGGAACTTGGGAGGACATCCTAAACGTTCCAAAATCTGCCACAGACCTTTTCTGCTCACAGTGTTGAAAGCCTTGGTGAGATCAACAAAGGTAACATAGAGTCCTTTGCTCCATTCCCTGCACCTCTCTTGCAGTTGTCTGAGAACAAATACCATGTCTGTGGTACCTCTGTTGGCTTGGAAACCACACTGGCTTTCAGGCAGAAGATCTTCTGCTATAGCGGGTATTAATCTGTTCAAAAGAATTCTTGCAAGGATTTTACCAGCAATGGAGAGTAGAAGCAAGGAATTAACTTACCTTTTCACAGTTTACCTGTGTAGTTAACAGATGAGTAGAGCGAACAGGGATCATCTTACATGTTTTCCAAATCTCTCAAGCCCATGAATCTTCCAGTGCAGACATGTAAGACACATCAAACTGCACGCTTCACTCTCTCTGCGTGTATGGTAGAATTATGAACCTTAAAGCAATTCACCTGGCATTTCATATATCCTTTTATTTAGGAGGGAGGATGATATTTATTCAAACACTTGATTGCTGCATACATTGTCTTCTATAGCTTACAGTTTACTATTCTGGTATGCATAACTTTGCCAGCAAATCGCTGCTGTAGCTGCTAACCTCTGTAGACAAATTATTTGCATCTTGCCTTATTTTTTGTCCAAAAATAGTTCTGAAAAACTTAAAACCAGGTTCCAGGATTTATTTATTTCTCTATAAAAACAGCTTCAGGTACATAAATTGGTTTACTTTAACTGTCCTGTCTTTATAATTGTACATGTGTGAGGGAAGTGTTAACTCAGACAAAATCGGTAAACAATTATGGATCAGATAGAGGAAGACCATTTTATCTTAATATTAAGTTTCTACATGCAGTCTATTACCAACTAATCTAAACAAAACCACCTACAAAAAGTTTTACATCCACTGCTACAGTTTAACAAGGTGTTCTAGTAATTTATGCTCCAAGGGCAGCTGAAAACAGCCCAGTCATACATTTACATTGGCAAATTACAGTGACATGAAGGTTACAGGTTGATTCAAAATTGCATAGTCTGAAATCGTTCCTTTTTCAAATGAAGTATGACTCAGATTTCAAGTCAAGTAATTTATTACAAGTTTGTATCTGTCTGAGATCACAGGTCAGATCTAAAAGGTGGAAGGCTAAAATGGGCACAGGAAAACTTGGTCTACCTTTTCCTTGATGCATGGAAAATGTACCCAGGATGAGCTCAGCATCAGCAATTCTAATTGTTGTCACACTTAATCACTTTGCTGTGACTGTCAAAAATGCAGAAAACTTAGCATACTTGTTAAAAATAAAGGCTATTTCAATGGGAATAAGCATAATGAGTCTTGATTTGTTCGTATAGCAGCCGTGATTGAGGAATACCATAAGAGTGGACGTAGGTCCAAACGGATTATTCAAATTATTGTTCTTTTCTATTTGTTAGCTATATAGGGTAAATAATATATGCAAAATATATAAAAAAAATATTAGTTCTGTATCTATTTGTGCAATCTTATGTCAACTTTCCTTATTACTTTTAACTTAATTCCAGTGTTCCTTGGCAGCAATGGACATATTCCAGGATGAAATGCTGAATAATATATTTGTATCTATATGGTATGGTTTATGACTGCAGATAAGATTTCATGACAGAATTCAGTTAAAGAGATTTACTAGAAGTTCTTTCTTCACTTTACACTGGAAGACTTTCTGATATTGCATTTTGTTTCTGGAATAATCCTATTCACATTTTTTTTACTGTTCTGAAGAACTATGCATCTAGAAGTCCATACAATTTTAAAGATCACTATGTTGATTGGACAAAGTCATCTGTACCTACATGTTCCTGAATCAGGAAGTTGTAGTCTGGTATCAAATAATCTATAAGGTGCTTTAAAATCATTAGGTAAAACATATCAAATGGCTTGCATCTGTTAAGTTGTTTGAGCTATTTCTGTGCCTGGCACCCATTAGAATGTAATTTGTGCCCATTTTTAGTTCTGAAGATGTAAGAATTTAATTATAGTAGGGAGTATATCATTAGTCTTGAGCATCTGCCAGACATTAAGTTCTTTAGTGTCCAGCATTCTTACAGAGCTTTGAAACACAGTTTTTGAGTTCACTAATAATTTGATATCATTTTACTGCAGAAGTCTGCAAATAAAAATATTTGTAAACATTAAAATTTGCTTTATGTCAGCAAAGCATTCTGAATAAAATATGAAGAAATATGCATCAAGGCAAATAGATCTCCCTGTTTCCTTTTTTTTTATTCTTTTTTTTTTTTCTTTCGTAAATTACAAGCAAATGGACTTCTGTACATTATATATATGTCTTGTATATTATTCATATTAAAATGAATTCTACAAGGGAGACACCATATGGAAAATTACTTCATGCATTTTTGTGTTTAAATGATACCAACATGATTTATTTCCCGGTGTCACAGAAGACATGATATTCCAGATGGAACTACACAAAATTTGGAGCCCCTGGTGGTCTAGTGGTAAAGGCGCGGCGAGACCCGGGTTCGATTCCCGGTCAGGGCCACTCCTGGGCAGATGGAGCTCGTTAGCCCTTAAAGGCAACCCACCTACGTCCTGAGGACCTCGCTGCCACCGTCCAAGCTCGCTTGGCCCTGGCAGATGAACCTTAGGATTAAAGGGTGGGCTCAGTTCCGCGCACACTGTGTCTCACCTAAAAAATCCAATGCGCAGGCTGGAAGGTGTAAAGACCTTCCCCGGATCTTCACTCGTGAAGACTGGCCATTATACACAAAATTTATACTGAAAGCACAGCTATTGATACTTTTAGAAGAAGAATATGCATCAAATCTCTGTCTGGTAGAGGGTTTGTTCACTTCAATAGAGGAATTTTCAAGCAGCACAAATCTGAAACACA